GGGTTGAAAGTTACTGCTTCCGGAAGGCGACATGGTCAATACGAGCCCAATTATGTTGCAAAATACGCGCTAAGTGTTTTCTCAGGGCTCGGCATCATTACCTCGACATCGGCCAAGTCAAGGCTCATATTTTGGGAGTATTCTGAACTAGGCCTCGTGCTGACACGTCGGCACGTTGGAATCAAGGCATGCACACGTAAGAAATGAAGCTGGAAACAACTAAGTGTTGAACGTGCACCTCGGTGTAGCGACCTCGGCGTGCATGCCGGACCCTGTTCGCCCAAACCCCTCGACTACCAAGCGCCTCGGCATTTCATGCCGAGGTCCATTGTCACAAACCCAGAATCAAGAACAAAGCTGCCCAAGAACACACACGTGAAGATGGATCAAAGACTAGGGTTCATGCATGTTCTTGACGTGTTCTTCACGAGATCTTCATTTGGATCTGGACTCACGTGCACTCCTCGACATGAAGACCTCGGCTTCACTCTCCGACACACCGTGGCACTCACCCATCAACCCAAGAACGCGGTTCAGTACCCGGTTTGTTCCGGGCTGACCCGCGACACTTTACCTTTGCTATATATACATTTTGAGACTAAAAACCTAAGGATCTTATCTCTTATCTGTTTTTAGCTTTAAGAACTTGCCTCTTTGGTGAAACTTGATCATTCTAATCCGATATCTTGTTTTTGCATGAGAAATCTTGTTCTTTCTTTATTTCTTTTATCATCTAACATTAAACTCCTCATCATGACCAGCTACACGTCTTGCAAAGGACTCAGTGAGCTCGTTATGATTAGTGAGTAGTCGTTTAAGCGGCTTTAGATGAGTAGATTAGGGTGCTTTCAAGGTAGATTAGTGGGTTTAGGTGTCTAGTCTTGCATGTTTCATTCTTTAACCGACGAGATCTCTAGGCTGGATCCAAGCACATCACTTGAGGTTCAGATCTGAGACATATCTCGCATCAAAAGTGTTTGTAGAAATGTCTGAACCACTCGGTTAAGGGTTTAAGAGTCTTTCATCGCGAGAGTGATAGTTTGTTCTCTTAAATGACATTTTTGAACTGATTCTTATTGCTGATTGATTCGATGCTTCTCAAAAGACATTTTTGGTATGAAGGAGGATCAATTTAGATGCTTAATACTTTCATGAGAAGATTAACATGCCTTGAGTTCAAAGTTAAATGAAACCGCTTGATGTTTTGATTCATTAACCCACTAGTTGAACTTGGGAGCACCCGAGTCAAGTATCTCGTCTAAAGTCTCTTGCTTTATTACATATTATCATCATCTGAATCGCTTAGTTATCATTTGCATCTTTGCTTTGTTTGATTCTCATCATTTACTTTACTTACATGCTTAATCGTTGTTATTTAGCTTAGTAAAACCTTCACCTTTTTATCTTGACTTAAATAAACAAACAACATAGACTAGTGTCTCGTTGACAAGTCTGGATTGACACCTCTTAGTACTACTTTGACAAGGGGATTGATAGCCCTGAGATCTAAAAAGTCTTATCTATCACTTAGTACACGAACATTATCAGTTGATGTAATATCACAACTGGCATCGAATATTCCAATCTTGTTGTGCAATTTGGAAAAGATCTTCCCACCATCATTTTTTGATGTTATGGAACATCTTCCTGTTCATCTCCCTCACGAAGCAGAGCTCGGTGGACCAGTTCAGTACAGGTGGATGTATCCGTTTGAGCGTTTCATGAAGCATCTTAAGGGTAAAGCCAAAAACCTTCTCTCTCTCTCTACTAAAATCTCTCTCTAGCTCTCCCTCCTCTCTAGCCTGAATTTGTAAGTTTTTATCAAACTTTTTTCATTATATTTTATATTTCGTTTAAATTTTAATCCTTAGATAGATATAATTAGGAGATTTAGGGTTTAGGTTCGGAATTTAGATAGGACCGGAATTAATAAATAAATGATATAATTAGTAATTATATTTCATTTAATTTTGTAGATTACTCAGATATGGCTCCTCGAGCAAAGAAGTTCCACTACCGACAGATGGTAGATCCAGAAGGTACGGCCCCGTCCACCTCAGCGACAGGGTGCGTCATCCAGGAGTCCTCGGGAACACAACGAACGGTTTTGCAACCGATCGTTGTACCACAGCCTGCACCGCCTCCACCACCACTAGCCGAACCAGCAGAACCAGCAGCCCCGATACAGCCTGTACTGTATGCCCAATTTACGGTACAGGATCTTCTACGCCAACCGGGTCGTGAGAGTATGAACAAACTCGATCCGGATCGAGCCCCGGGAACATTTTGGTACAAGATTTTTTTTTAAAATTTTTTTTTAAACAAATAATATTTATAATTAATTGAAATTAACTTAATTTTTATTTGCATTTTACTAGGTTTACGACCGACAACGCGGTCAGTCGTAACGTTGCCGACATCATCAAAGGGTTTTTCGTACAACCCGATACTAGCTGGAAGAAGCTGGATCAGGCAACTCTTGACACTTGGTTCAAGTGTTTTGCGGTAAGTACTTCTTTAAAATTTTGATTTATATTATTATTTTTAATTTTTTACAATAATTACTAACTTTTTGTTTTTTTTCTTAGCAAAACTGGCATTGGGAAACTTCCGCACACAGACGTGTGGAGACAGCCTTCAAAAGAGAAGGTCAAGTTCCGCCTCAACAACACCGTTTCCGACTGGAAGAGAAAGTGGGAGGTCGACGGCGACAAGGCCAAGCCGGCGCCAATGGCTGATACCGTCTGGCAGGGTCTGGTCTAGTATTGGTTGACTCCGCACAACCAGACTACTGCCGCCAAGTGTTCCACATCCAGGTATTTTAATTTTTGTTTATATTAAATTAAATTATGTGTTTTCCTCCTTAATACATTCTAATGAATATATTTTTCAGGAACGCTACTGACGATGCGGGAAATCAGAAGAACGTCCTGCACACTTCCGGCCAGATTACTTTTGCCGGCAGACGACTTATGATGGTAATTAAATTTAAATTATTAAGTTTTTGTTTTTAAATAATTAACTCTTATTTGTCTTACTAATATTTCATTTTGATTTTGTAGGTCGAAGAAAACGGGGGACAACTTCCTCCGATGACGAAGGTCTTCGCCGAGACCCATAAGAAGCGGAACGGCGAATTCACGGATCCTCGGGCGAAGGAGATCTACAACACCGGCTGTGCGCGGATCGAGGAGCGGCAGACGCACCTCACTCAGCAGGCGTGTCCGACGTCTCCCAGAGGTAGCTCGGTCCAATCCACCCCGACGCTGACGGTGGCGGAGATGGACCGGATTTTTGAAGAGGTAAGATCTTTTATTAAATTTAATGTAATTTTAACTTTATATTGTACTTTTTAACATAATTTATTTACATATTTTTAGGTTGCCCCTAAGAAAAAGGACCGGGTTTTAGGGATGGGATCCATCCGTGATACCCCGACCGCTACGGCAACTGGTCATGTCCGGGCACCGGATCCGCTTATCCGTCAGGAGATCGATCAGATGCGGACCCAGTACGAAACAAAGATCGACCAGTTGTACGGTCTCTTCGAGATTATGGGGGCCGACAACCCGGTGCTCATGGCGCAGTTGAATAGGCTGCAGGCAGATGGAGTTGTCGGATCATCTGGGTCATCTTCTAGGAGGCAACCACCGGTGCAGACGGACGAGGAGATGTTCCGGTCTCTCGGGGTTGATCCTCCTAGAGTCGGGGATCAGGCGCCGGAAGCCTCCAACCGAAGACCCGGGGATCAGGTGGCGGAAACCTCTAACCGAAGACCCGACAAAGAACATTTGGAGCAGGACGATGGGGAGTAGGCCGGTGACGGGATCGACCTTAGTTTAGATTTAGATCTAGATCTTTAGGGTTCTTTTGTAATTACTAGAATTAATTTTTTTATTTGAATTTTGATTAAAATTTAAATTGTAAATTAATTCTTTTTTTAATTTAATTTTTAATTCGAATTTTTTTTTTTCAATCATCGTAATATAATTATTATTATTTTATTAAACCGTCGTATATTCGTCGTAACAGGTACGACGAAGTTACGACAAAATTATACGACGACTAATACGACGAATATACGTCCGTGTTTTACGACGGTTTTACGACGAAATGATAAAATATTTTACGATTGAATTACGACGAAATGTGCGTTGTATATTTTACGACGATCCTACGTCGACTTTTAACGACGACTTTACGACGGTTTCAGTCGAAGACCAAATCGAGGCAATCTGATGTAAAGGCGTCGTAAACTGTACGACGCGTTTACGACGATCTTTTTCCGTCGATGTTACAAAGAAAATAAACCGTCATAGATTATTCGACGATTTTACGACGATTTGTCTATTACGATGATGAGTTTACGATGATTTGGAAATCGTCGGTAGTTTGTCGTAATAGCCCTATTACGATGAACTAGCGACGATTTTGCCTGTTGTAAAACGGTGTTTTTCATGTAGTGATTGCATGTACTTGATAACAGTTAGAGCAACATCTGTAGAAGAGATAACATATAAATTGTTAGTGGAAAAGATATGCAAGAAGATTGGGGTAGATGAAAACACAACGAAACTTAAATTGAGTTTTCTTCCGGTGCTAGTGAATGATAGTCTTCCTGTTTATGTGGATTGCGATGACGATGTTTATGGATATCTGTCAGTTGTGGATGATCGTGGCTGTAGAAATGGTCTGCAGGTGGAAGTCATAGAAGATCCGTGGGAGATGTGGATATAGTTCATTTGGTGTGAATTATGGAGGTGATGGTAGTGCCATTCTTGCACACGTTGGAAATGAGGGAGATAAAGCTTTACAAGAAGAGGCGACTAAGGATATCATAGTGGAAATGATAATGCGTCACGTGCTCTGATAATGCATCATGTGGATAACAATGGTGATGATGGTGGGGAGAACAATGGTGATGACGGTAGGGAGAACAATTCTGATGACGATGGGGAAAATAGTTGTGAGACGATGGAGGGAATAGTTCTGATGACGGGATGGATAACAGTTTTGATGGTGGGGTAGATAGGGGTGCTATAGTTGAAATTGAGGAGTTCCCACGTCCTTCTCAAGGAAGTCAGTCAATAGAAGCATGGGAAAATGGGACAGGTCTGGAGTTAAGACAAGAGTTTGAATCCAAGAAAACTGTGATAGATTTAGTTCGGAGAGCTTCACTTGGTAAATGTTTTGGGATCTCACTTAAGAACTCGGATAAGAAGCGGTGGGTGGTGAAATGTGCTGCTGAAAAAGAAGGTTGTGCTTGGCATATTCCAGTAGTGAAAGGTGTAAAATCAGGATGTTTCAAAGTTACCAAATATAATAAAATGCCTACATGCTCCCGGGTGTCACGTAGTGGCTACGCTAGCACAAGAGGCACAAAAAGGTTGGTTGCATCTTTGGTGAAGGAAAAGTGTGCAAGCCAGTTGCAGACCACAACACCAGCTGAAATTATGACTTTGCTTCAAACAGAGGTCGGTGTGTCAGTATCTTATGCTACTGCATGGAGAGGGAGAAATATAGCTCGTAATGAAGTGATTGGAGATCCAGAGGAGAGTTTCTTGTTGCTGCCTTCTTACTTATACATGCTGGAGCAAGCTAATCCTGGAACAAAAACGAAATTGTGTTTAGACGGTGAAGAGAGGTTCAAGTACCTTTTTGTCGCACTTGGAACTTGCGTGGAAGGGTTTGAAGGAATGAGGAAAGTTATTATTGTAGATGCAACATTTCTGAAGGCTGGCTATAATGGTGTTTTAGTTATTGCAACAGCTCAAGACCCTAATCATCACCATTACCCTCTTGCATTTGGTGTTATTGATGGTGAAAAAGATGCAAGTTGGAACTGGTTTTTCGAAAGGTTGAAAACTATTTTTCCAGATAATGGTGAGTTGGTTTTTGTAACTGACCGTAATCAAAGTTTAGTTAAAGCGGTTGGCGAAGTGTACCCGAGGGCTCAACATGGCTTTTGTATATATCATATGTCGCAAAATGTGAAATCTCATGTTTATTATGTGAACAAAGAGGAGGCCGCTGAAAAATTCAGAGAGTGCGCAAGGGTGTACACAGAAGCTGAGTTCCTGCAAAAGTATGATAAATTTAAAGGGAGGTACCCAACCACTGTCACTTATCTTGAAAAAGGGCAGGAAGGTGGCACAGAGACCATCAATAGTGTGAAATACTGGGCAAGATGTTATTTTCCTGGTGAAAGGTACAACATTGACACTAGTAATAGTGTAGAGTCGATAAATGGTATTTTTAAGAAAGGTTACCGATTTTGGCCATGATCGATATGATTGTAGCAAAATTTAGTGAATGGTTTAACAGACATAGGAAGGAGGCTGCATATGGTAAGGTGACAGAGAAATTAGTGCCTTATGTGGAGAATATATTGCACTCGAGATGTTTAGTTGCCAAGAAACTAATTGTTGTGGAACTGAACAGTTTCAAGTTCATATACATAGTTACTGGGAAAGATGGAAATGCTTATGTGGTACACTTGTTACAGAAAACTTGTGATTGCAAGCATTTTTACATAGACAAGTACCCCTGTGTACATGCATTAGCTGCAGCTATGAAATGCAACGAACAAAAAGATGGATCCAGGTATTTCCATTACCATGATCTGTGCTCTAGATATTATTGGACTGACCAGTGGAAGTTGGCATACGTGAGGACGATCTATCCAGTACCGCCTAGATATCAGTGGTTAATTCCAGCTGAAACATGTGGTTTTGTCTGCAAACCACCAAATTTTCCCAAGCGAAAGAAAGGAAGAAAGAGGGATAAGAGGTTCACATCCACGGGAGAACACCGTCGTGGTAACAAACGGGTGCCAGGACAAAAATTTTGCAAGGACTTGGTTACATTGTAGTCAAGGTTCGGAGACAAACGCGGAGATGGACGGGACAAACACGGAGTCAAACCAGACTGTGTAATTTGCATTTTCGAATTTTGGTATTATTGGGAACCACTTGGAACAACTACCCAGCTATTTCTAATTTGTAATTTTTTTTTGGTATTACTGGCACTATTTGGAACAACTTCCCGACTATTTATAGTTTGTATTCTTTTTTTTTTATGGTATTACTGAAACTACTTGGAACAACTACTTAGAACAACCATTTGTAATTTTGATTACATAATTTAAATATTTGCTTGTTAGTTTTGATTTTTGGCTTTATGAATACAATGTACTAAATTTTTTAATGGTTTTAAAAGAAAAACTTCAATATACTGTATTACCTCTTTGTCTTATTTTTTTTAAAATATATAATTTTGGTATTACTGGAACTACTTGGAACAACTACTTGGAACAACCATTTGTAATTTGATTACATAATTTAAATATTTGCTTGTTAGTTTTGATTTTTGGTTTTATGAATACAATGTACTAAATTTTTTAATGGTTTTAAAAGAAAAAGTTTAATATACTGTATTACCTCTTTGTTTTTTATTTTATTTTTAAAATATACAATTTTGGTATTACTGGAACTACTTGGAACAACTATTTGTAAAGTTGTCTATATATTTAATCGGGGTTTAGATATGTGATTTTAAAAAATAACATATATTTCCAGAGTATATGTAATTAAATATCTATATAAATGTATAATATGTGCTAAAAATAATGTGTATTCCGTAATTTATAAATTATGAAATCCGTTTGGGCACACTTATCCCATATAATATCATAGGTTTTATGGATACTTTGAATCAAATAGCCTTGATATAAACCAATATCATCAAACTTTGACATATCCTAAATATTATTTCATAATGCTAGTAATCTCTTTAATTTAGCAATTATGATCGGTACAACCAACACACGTTTTATTAATCATAGGTAATATCAAAAAAATTAGAATTCGACAAAAGTACAACTATTTGAGAGTGTGACAAACTGTACAACTAAGAGGTAAGCTATGTATATTTTTGGCGCAATTTTTGAAATTTAAATATTTCGAAATGGCGCCATTTTGAAATATTTCAGAATTCATTATTTTTTTCTATTTTTCCTACTTAAAAGGAGGACCTCTTCTACTTCGGAATCTACTTCGTTCCTCTTGTACTTCTGTCCTCTAAAAACATTTTCTCTCTCAACTAAAATATCTCCTCCCCTCCCAAACTCTTGTTATGGATCCCGAGAGTTACAGCGAGTTCAAAAGAAACAAAAAATACATCGACATGTTGTATTGCATAGCGGATGGTGACTATGGAATTCCGACGTATCGTTGTCCATGTGGAGGAGAGATCGTTGTCACGGATGGGTCTTCTCAAACGAGATACTTTTCAGTGCGAGAACTTCAAGGTCTGTCTGTTTTGCGATTTTGGTTTAACTTGTTCATTTTTTGGGTTTAGGTTTGCCAAATCTGGGTTTTGATTTTACTTTTTTCATTATGTGTAGAATGATCGCTTACATGTTCGCAAAGTATGGGCAGATGCTGTTGGAGAAGAGATTGATAGGATCAAGAAGGATGTTGCTGCTAATGGAGAAAAGACTCGAAGAATGGCCCTCCTTAAATTTCAGGTCAAACAGATGCAGATGAAGCTTAAAAAAAATGCTGAAGAAATTGCTAAACTCAAAGAGACTTTAAGAAATGTTTAGATTTTGAGAAATGTTTAGTTCCTTCAAAAGCACTGCTGTAGAATAATGATGGATCTTATGTTATTTTATTTAAATGGAGCCAATTAGTACTTCCAGTTTTTCTAGTTGTGCCAACAAACAAATTTGTTCTACAAACAAATTTAGCCGATTAGTAATACCAGTTTTACCAGTTGTGCCAACAAACATATTGACCCGATTAGTACGAATTTAGCCGATTAGTACTTCCAGTTTTACCAGTTGTGCCACCACCCATATTTACCCAATTTGTACAAATTTAGCCGATTAGTTATACCAGTTTTACCAGTTGTGCCAACACACGTATTGACCCGATTAGTACGAATTTAGCCGATTAGTAATACCAGTTTTACCAGTTGTGCCAACAAACATATTGACCCGATTAGTACGAATTTAGCCGATTAGTAATACCAGTTTTACCAGTTGTACCAACACACATATTTAGCCGATTAGTAATACGAATTTAGCCGATTAGTATTTCCAGTTTTACTAGTTGTGCCAACACCTAAATTTGTCCTCCAACGAATTTACCCAATTAGTACTTCTAGTTTTACCAGTTGTGCTACCAAATTTGTTCTAAACCGTACAAATCTGGGTTTTAAAACCAAAATATTACAAGCATAAGTTTTAAAACAAGGTCCAACCAAAATAGAGTAGCAAAATAGTACAAGCAAAAGTCTTAAACAAGGTCATAAACCAGCCCCTAAACTCTAAGTCTTTTGTTTCTTTCCCGTGGGAGCCCCCTCCTTGTTTTCATCCTTCGTTGACCTTTTCTTCCCTTTCTTATCTTCTGTAAAAGGGGTTTGTTTGTATTGAGATTTTTTACTTGTTCGTCCACTAGTCCTCCTGGTTACATGGGTTGGCCCTTCTCCGTCGACTTCCTCGTTCTGTTCTTTATCCTTCTCCACGTTCTTTTCCACATTATCTCCTTCTGTTTGCTTCTTCCCAGAACAGCCAGCGCCATCATTTGCCTCCTCACCACCGCCATGGTAATCTGCATCCAAGAAGTTAAGACGATTCTCTTCGTCTTCTTGATTTCTGTTCTTCTCTTCACCCACATACAGCTCCATCTTTTTTGATTCTTTTGTCATGATCAGCTAACTTATTTCTGATTTCCTTAAACCCATCTTCCACTGTTTTCGTCAAGCCCTCTAAGCCTGCTATCAGTTTCTCTACATCAATTGTAGTTGTAGGAGTCGATGCGGTTTTACGAGCTGATGAGATTTTACGAGCTGGTGTTTTAGGACCCGATGCTTTTTTCCTTTTGTTCTTTCGGCTATTGACATCTTTTTTGAACATTTCCTGAAATAATATCTCACTTTTCTCCTCCAGCAAAATCGATTTCCAACCATCAACAACATAATCCGCTACATCTTGGTCTATATCCTCATCGTCCATGATGAGAGCCAGTGATATGTTCATAATTTACATCATTTAGGTTGCATAAATCATTCCAAATCATGTTTTATTTCATGCATTTTAGGTCCTTAGGGTTTGTTTTAGAACTTAAAAGATGCATTAGGTCCCAATGAGTCTTTGCATGTTTTGAGTGTCTATCAGGTGAATTTGGAGCTGAAAAGAAGAATCCAGGAGGTGGAATGGTGAGCAAAGCTTGAAAAAGTGGAAAATTTGGGTCTATGGAGGTTATCGGCCATTCTCGCTGGCCAGGAAGGTTTTACCGGCCATTTTCATGTACCGCGGGAAGCTTTACCGGCCATTTTCATGTACCGCGGGAAGCTTTACCGGCCATTTTCATGTACCGCGAATGAAGTGTATCGGCCAAAATCTCCGGGTGCAAACATGTCTCAGAAATCGCCTGTCCGGGGAACCTTCCGATCCGATTCAGACGGCGGGTGCTTCATAGAAGTTGGATAGCATTGCATCACGGTCATATAGCAAGTGGAATCGTGGAATTCGGACGCGTGAGCAGAGAGATAAGCTCGTCGGAAAGAACCCCTGTCTCGCAGGTATTCCGGACCGAGCAGATCAGTTCTGAAGGATGCGAAGGACGGTGCACTTCCAGGCCGATTCAGTTTCCGGGGCCTTCATGAGAATCAGAGACATTTGAGTCTTCTTTCCAGAACATCCGAGATCAGTCAATTCGGAGCTTTGAGCAGAAAGATACGGTCTCCGGAATGGACACATGTCTAGACGCCTCTCTCTGGTCGTGTAAATGCACTGAAAAGATGTGCCCTCCAGGAAGCCTTACACTTCCCAAGCACTGAAACTTCCTTCACCAAAGCTGGAGATTAATGAGTCCTCTGTCTTCTGCAACCGGAATCACGCAATTCTGACAAGTCTCCAGGAAGTTACACTCTCCGGAATGCGAGATGGTCCAGACAGCCCAGAGCGACTAAGTTAAGCATGCCGCGATGGAATGCCACGGTCCACACTTGGCCGTGGCAACTTTTGTGCACCCTCGGCAAATGACACGATCTTCATGCCACGGTCTACACTTGACTGTGGCAAACAAACACTTGGCTGAGAGGAACTTCTTGCAACCTTCGGCGATTGACACGGCCTAAATGCCACGGTCTGAGGCTTGACCGTGGCAACTTCTTGCAACCTTCGGCGATTGGCACAAGCTGAATGCCACGGTCTGGGACTTGACCGTGGCAAATGAACAAGTGGCTGGAGACAACTTCTACACAGTTTCGGCTTTTGACACGATTTCAATGCCACGGCCTGAGACTTGGCCGTGGCAAGCATAGACTTGGCTGGGAAGGATTTCACATGCATGCGGGTTTTGGCACGGTCAGAATGCCACGGTCTAGGGGCTTGACCGTGGCAACCTTTACACATCTTCGGCGTTTGACACGGTAACTTGCCACGAGTTCCAGATGAAGCTTGATCAGACCGTGGCATCAAAAGGAACCAAGAACACAAGTAAAGACTTTGACACGGTCAGGATTGCCACGGTCACTCCAAGAGCACACCAGACCGTGGCAAACCTACACTTACCCATCAAGGCCGGGTCAGTACCCGGTTTGTTCCGGGTTGACCCAGTTCGCCCAAGCCTCCTTTATAAGGTTTTTAGACCTAATTTGTAGAGAACACTTAATCTACTTTTAGTCTTCTTTCCCCTTTTGTGAAAACCTACTTAATACACTTTGTTTTAGAGAGCTTAAAATCGATTTTGAAGTTTCTTTCCATCTTGTTCATCATTTCTTATCATCAAATCAAACTTCTAATCATGATTAACAACACATCTTGCAAAGGATCTAGTGTGTTGATCATGATTAGTGAGTAGT